TCAAACCCCCCCACTCAGGCAGGAAACCCTACACCATTTCAGACAAATGGCTGTCCAGTCTCTTCATAATAATAATAATAATAATAATAATAATAATAATAATAAAAAGTTGGAAGGGACCTTGGAGATCATCTAGTCCAACCCCCAGGTAAGGCAGGAAACCCTATACACCATTTCAGACAAATGGTTGTCCAGTTTCTTCCTAATAATAATAATAATAATAATAATAATAATAATAATAATAAAGTTGGAAGCGACCCTGGAGGTCATCTAGTCCAACCCCCTCGCTCAGGCAGGAAACCCTACACCATTTCAGACAAATGGCTGTCCAGTCTCTTAATAATAATAATAATAATAATAATAATAATAATAATAATAATAATAATAATAATAAAGTTGGAAGGGACCCTGGAGGTCATCTAGTCCAACCCCCCCACTCAGGCAGGAAACCCTACACCATTTCAGACAAATGGCTGTCCAGTCTCTTAATAATAATAATAATAATAATAATAATAATAATAATAATAAAGTCGGAAGGCACCCGGGAGGTCATCTAGTCCAACCCCCTGCTCAGGCAGGAAACCCTATATACCATTTCAGACAAAGAGCTGTCCAGTCTCTTCTTCAAAACTTCCGGTGCTGGGAGGCAGGGGCCCGGAACGGAGGGGCGGCTGGGGAGACCTGGGCGTGAGCGGCCCCCAACAACGCAGCCCCTCTTCCCCGCAGGCACCCGACGGATAGGGACGCTAACCCCGACAGACCGGCTGGGCCGGCCCAAGACCTGCCGGGTGGCCCCGGGCCCGCTGAAGGGGTGTCCTCCGTTGAGACGGGGTGGCGCCGAAGTCGCTGATACGCCACGCCGAGAGACCCACCTGGGCTGCCACCTGCAGGCGGAAACGGCGGCGGAAGCTGGACGCAAAGAGCCTCTGACGGGCACCGAGGTCAACCAACACAACGCAACAAAGCTGCCAACAACGCCGGCCTCAACTGCCAGCCCCAGCAACATCGCCGCCGGGTCAAAGGGGGTCACACCGGCGGCGGACGAAAATGATGGCCGGCCGGAGGAAGAGAGAGGAGTGTGGAGGAACCTGCAGCGTCTGGTGGCCGGGTCCTTCGGCCGCAGCCGGGTGGGCGGCACGGACGTTAAATGAAGGAATGAACGAATGAGTAAATAAATGGGGAGGGGGGCCTTCAGCTCCTCCCGGAATCCTTCTGACTTGTTTCGTGTTTAAAAGGTGGGTGGGAGATTAGATAGATAGATAGATGATAGATAGATGATAGATAGATGATAGATAGATAGATAGATAGACAGACAGACAGACAGACAGACAGACAGACAGACAGACAGACAGACAGACAGACAGACAGACAGACAGACAGACAGACAGACAGAGACATAGGTGGATAGACAGGCAGATAGGTAGATATAGATGGATAGATAGAT